TTAATTTTTTTTATTTAATATAAAAATTATTTTTAATTATTATTTTTTTATAATATAATATGTTAAGGTCATCTACAAAAAGTCTAAAACTAAACTACCACTCCATTTTGCCAATTACACGTCTGTACAAATCATCACGCTTTTGTTTGAGTAGCAGAGTAGTGACATTTTTTGCACCAAAAAAGGCAGAGTAACGACATTTCTGGTGACATTAAATTCGAGTTTTAAATTTAAGACTCTTTTACTTTTTAAAATCAGATATTAATATTCTCGATATAATTATCACTTTAAAAAAAACTACTACTTCACTTTATTTATTTAGTTTAAAAAAATACATTAAAATTACCCCGTTAAAATAAATTAGGGGTGATGATACAGTAACAACTTTTTATATAATTGTTTATATAACTTTTTATATAATTTTTATATATTATTATTGAATAAATATGCTTCACATTATGCACCTAACCCTAGAGGCACACTGACATAGTCAATCAACCGATACATTCTCTTGTTTATTGGGCGGTTTCGAACCCACTCTGGCCAAAATGTTAAAAAAAAAAAAAATGCTTAACATTACAAATTATAAATAAAGAAAAATTAATCATTGTCCCTAAATTGTTTTTTAATAAATAAACAAACAACAATGAATTTAAAAAAAATCTTTCTCTCACCTCTACTTTTCTGTGCCGTCCTTCTTGCAGCTTGCCCTCCGCCATCGAACTCAACTCCATCTCCACCGCGAGAACCGCTCCCGATCCACCTCCGAGATTGCACATTTCTTGATCCAGTGATTTTACTTTTGCATGTGGGAGAGTCTTTAGTAATTTGGCTTCGTGGGTCTTTAAGCAATTGAGGGTTTTGGCGTCGACAATAGAATAACTACTAAAGCTGAGATTTTTCCCACAATCTCTTCGAAATGCCGCCGTCGGTATATCCCGCCCGGCTCCACGGCATTTTGCTCGCTCTCCGGCCTGGCCGAAAGGAGGAAATCTTTGCCTCATGGCTGTCTTAGCCTCTCACGGTCCAGGTTTTCTTAAAATCTATACCGGGTTTGCATTTTCCTCGACCTGAATTATTGGCATTCCAGGCTCAATCATCTGGCCCAGATAAATGGGCAACACAGCAGGGCCTTTTGTAGAAAGCCTACGCATTTTTTATTTTCGGCCCCCCCGTCCCCCAATTTTTTCCTCCTCTTTCATTTTTTTTTTTTTATAAAACTAAAAAACATTTAGAGGTCTGTTAAGAGCCCGAATCAGGTCGCACTAAGTTCATACACCAATTGTTAAATGTATTTAATATTTTAATAATAATTAAAATTCAAATTATGATAATTTCATATCATATTTCATTTCTTTATCTCAAATTGCAATTATTAAAAAAAAAATAACTCGGGTCAGGTTTTCATAGTCATTGTGATGAACATAATATATTTAGGAATGAGGAATTGTCCTTATTTTTAACCTTAATTATCAATTATGTGATTTAATTATAGAGTTATTTTTATTATTAGTTATATGTCTAAAATTAAAAATTTAATATCTATATATAAAAAAATTTAAAAAGTCATTTTTATTGTTTGGCCTAAGCCTATTATCAGATTTAAGCATCTAAGTTCATAGAAATAAAAAAAAAAAAAGGATAAAAAAGGAAAAAAAAATATAAAAATGATAATAGTGAAAGAAAATGAAGAGAGAATATAACATAATACCAGCGGATATGGTTTACAAATTAACAATAGCTTCAACCAACAAATTTTTAGAATCCATCATCAAGGCAGGACTAAGCCTAAACATGAGAGTACAAAACTCCATCTCATTCAAAGCACCATCTCCATCCAAATCACCTTCTCTCAACATGCACACCACCTCCTCATCGCTCATGTCCTGCAACCCTAGCAGCGCCGAGTTCTTCTTCAAGCTCTCAAATGTGATCACACACCTCTCTCTCCATCCATCAACAACCGAAACCCATTACACAGCTCCTTCATAAACCCTTCTGTGCCCAATTTCATTTTTATTTTTTTGAGTTTATGTTTATAAATGCTAATATTATAAAAAAAATTAGAATACTAGAATATTTCTTTTAAAAAGTAAAATTTAACTTAAATTAATTTCACACAAAAAATATATGATTATAAATTCAATCCTAAAAGATAAAAACCTATATAGATGCTAATATTATAAAAAAAATTAGAATACTAGAATATTTCTTTTAAAAAGTAAAATTTAACTTAAATTAATTTCACAAAAAATATATGATTATAAATTCAATCCTAAAAGATAAAAACTTATATCGATGCTAAATAAGAAAACTTTAAATTACTACGTAGAATATTAAG